TCGAAGCAACACACCTAGGGCCACTACTCCAATGCCCCATTAGTGAGAATAGGTCTCACAAAACATTTATATAACCAGTATGACAGCCGCGAACTAATACCCCGATTGCCGCCCACAATGTTTCAACAAATAAACGCCGTAGACGTAACGTACCTTGCTCTTTTCTCCGTCAGCCAAGCGCAAACCTACACCATTCGAATAGGGCAGCCGGAAATCCCGCAATTACCTTCTTCTCGTAAAAAGAATCAACTTCAATTTCAAAAAAATCATAAATAAGCCATAACCTCTTGCCTACACAACTAATTACTTCAAGCCTTGAAATATAAGTAATCTTGAACGCTATGTTGTACCAAAATCTATGTGTATCTCATATTTCCTTCCACTTGAGAGTAAATTATATTTTATTTTTTAATTTGCAATACATTTTTTTAAAGTAATAAAATCATATTGAAATTCAAAAACTTGTTCAACAAAAAAAAATTATTTTTTTCTTCAAACTTATTAAAAACTTTACAGCTCGCACTTCCGATCCAGTTTAACATTAAAGCAACTTACAGATATTTGTAAAAATTTTTGAAACGTGATCCTTTAGAACAAATTTTTCATGTGGAGATTTTCTTTTCGATGATTTTCTTCAACAGTTAACAATTTCAAACATCCTTAGGTGATTTCTTGAGAATTGGTTGATAATATCTCTTTTACCCAGGCGGTATACCCAGGAATTTTTCGGTTTACAGAAGGAACAAGGAAATTAGAAATTGTGTTCCAGAAATACAACTACGGAGGTATTGAAGCCCTTCTAAGCTTATCTGTATTAGTATTGTGAAATTTGAATGCATAATTTGAGAATACTCCTGTTATTATGTAAAAGGTTTTATTCAATACTCAACTATTTCAAATATCTGACGAAATTCCTTGTATTGTTAAACTTCTCAACGTTTTTTGCTTTTATTTTTAATTTCCATGAATCAATTTCGTAGTAAATTTTAAATACTCTTCAATAAAATATAATAATAGGGTCTCGTTATGTTCCAAATACATAAAAATTTTGTAATAATTTTGTCTTAGCTTTAAGCAGTAAGTCCTTTTTAGTTGGTTTTGCGGTTAATTTTACTGAATTTCCCGATGTAAACAATAATAAAAGAGATTTTTCAATTATCCTTTCTACTTAAAGATATTGACTGTGATATGGAAGTCCTATGCGGATTATGGAATGTAAGGCTACAAGTTAAAGTAAGAAAAGTTAGAATTTACAAAATAGTTGACATTTACAGATTTGTACAACCGCGGTAACAGATTTGCGCCCTCCTCTGAGAGTGGGGCGTTTTCCACAGGACGCGGTCGAGAAACACCACCTTTATGAGCTCAAGAAGCTTATGAGGCACTGAAGGTTGCAATACAACTCTGTGAGAGCAAAGTCTCCCACTATTTCCCTTCTCTTGCAAGCGAGAGCAGTACACTCTCTCAGAAAGTGTATTAAACTACATCTCACTTTTTCCACAAAATTTGCTGATGTTTTCAAGGCTTAGTCTACTGAAGATAGATGATTTCTTTCCCTTTTTTAGCACTCTTCGAAAAAATTTTTGAAACAAATTGCTTATTAGTTTCACTCTGTCCGTCCTTAGTTCTCTCTGTCCAGAAGTATTGGACAATAGAAATTGGTGGAGTTATCACAAATGTTCTCTATTTATATTCAAATGTATTAGTTACGGAGAATGTGAAAGCTTTATGTGAACTACACGCTAGTGTCAATCAACTATGGAAACTCAATTATTAATGACTTCGATTTATATTTATTTGATAAAAATTTGTTTCTGAGTAAATATCTCCAACTCTTTAACCGCAATTATAATAATGATCCCATAATATCATTATTATTTCACATCATTTTCTTTTTTATCGCGCATACAAGTGAACGTGTCATAATGGTTTTCGTTAAGGGTTTAATTCCCCGTAAATGGTTTGAGGGTTTCTTGCTTTTTTTTCCCTAAAATCGTATGTAATGAGTTTTATAAATCCTAATGATATTAGGTACTTAATGGGTGCACGTAATATTTACTTTGTAGAAATTTTGTTTTTTTCATAACAAAAAAAATTCAAATATTCCCTTTGAGATTATTGAAGTAGTTTAAGATATCCCTGCGAGAGGATAAAATGATAATGATGAAGAAAACAAAAACAAGAAAAATATAAAATAATGAAAGGGAAAATGGTGGAAAACGTGAGATAAAGGTAAAAATCGAATATCGTTATTATGAGTTTTTTTATTTAATTTATACTTTTTAAAGAAAATTTTTGGAAGGTTCGTTGTGCAGAAGAAAATAATGGATGCTGATCTGCTGACATCATTAGTGAAATGATTTTAGAATTTGATTTTATTTTTTTTTTTTTGAAACAAAATCATTATCCAAAATTTGTAATACAAAAATGCGAATGAAATTAAATGCTTTAACATTAAAATGGAAACTTTGTTTAAAATTTTGTAAAAGAGCCAATTGAGAGGAGGAATAAAAAAATTTATGGAAATCTTAATGATAAATATTTTTTTAATGAGAACTAATAAAAATTTTGAAATTTAAAAATAATGTGCTCATTATAACAAACAGTTAACATGCTTATTATTGTACGGCGAATTCGCGAAGAAATCTGGCGAAAGAAAATATGATGTGAATAGAAGAACTTATCATATAAAAGTATGGATAATTCTATTGTACTAGTTTACTTTACAATTATAAATGTTGTACAATGCTGCCATGGTGTAAAAAATTTGGAATAAATGCCATTTATATGCCGGCGAATTCACAACTCAAAATCAATCGGATTTTCGCTTTTTTGCCTAGCATTGTCGTTAATCTATTTGTTATCTCATTTGAATTTATTTTACTACTACACTCTTTTTTTCATCATATTTTGTTATGGCGGGTTCTTAATTCCTTCTTCAATTCCCGTTTTCCTTAGCGCGGATATACGAGTAGATTGCACGTCTTCCGCTTAAAACTAAAGTATCGTATTTAAAAAACATCACTTCCACAAGTGTTTAAGAATGAAAATTCATAAGTTAAAAAATTTAAAAAAATATTTTCAATGTTAAATTTAGCTTTTAAAATGAAATTTACTTAAGGAAAACTTTTAAAAATTAAAAAAGTTTCTTCGAAATCAATATGAGAAAATGGATCTTATTACTTGCTTTCATAGTTGTAGTTTTGTTTTTGTATTCAAAAAACGTTATAAAATTAAATTTAAATTTTAAAACAATTGTTATTTGCTAAAGGAAATAAAATTTTCAAGTTAAGTTGCTAAAATTTGCTGAGTTTTAAAAGCATATCAAGCAGATGTTTGCATATTCTGGCAACATGATTGATTGAAATTGAAAAGACTGCAGAAAATGACGATTTCCAAAATCAGCTGAACTAAACTGAACGTCGTACTTTACGAAAACGGAAAAATAGTACAACAGACGGCGGTCTAAAAATTTTGCATGGTATACTGAAAGTGCGATAGTGAACTGTTCAGGTACGTAACTTGAGACAAAACGTTAAAACGGAGCGGATATGATATATGGCGGAAAGGAAAACCACATCTAAGAAAGTATAACAAGAAGGAAGCTAGAATCTGGCTTGTGCAGACTTGAAAAATTAGATTTGTAAAATTAAAGTATAGGAAGAACAGTTTTTGATCCTTGAGAATTAAGAACAAATTTAATGATTTTCCATTCAATTTATAAGCCCGAATAACTCCTTTATACCTGTTTTAAACCTTAAAACTGGTCAAATAATTAATTTAAAGAGCCAAGTAGCCGCGTTATCTTCGTCCGTGTTCAGTAGGCAGTCCTTGTTTGATTTGTATATCTGCATGCTTTCATGAACTTCTCTCCTGTGTTTTCCTTTTACCTCTTTTAATACCCTTAAGTTATCTTCCGTGATTGCGTGATCCGTTTCATAAATGTGTTTTGCAACCATAGAATCGAAAATTAAATCCTGTTAAATCCTACTCTCCTTGCACGTTTTATTTCACTTAAATGTTCTTTAAGTGTTGTAATAACGGGTCTCTTCTTTTGTCCTATGTAAAATTTATCGCAATTATTACAATTGATTTTGTACACACCGCATCTTTTATGTATCTTCAATTTATCCTTAGTCGAATTTAACAAACTCCTAAGTTGATATTTACTATTGGTTTCCGATGTCCGAATATTGTGTTTCCTCAGTTGTTTATTTATCAATTATTATGCTTGTACAGTGACGATCATAACTCAAAGATGCCCATGTTGTTCTTTGTTCTTCCAATATCTTGTTCTGTTTAAACAATGTGCTCATATTCTCCTGCTCAATTTTTCGTTTTTTCTTCCTAATGAGTTTGTTAATTCGTTCAGTAGAATAACCGTTCTTCACAGCCGTGTCCAAAATGAAGTTTAATTCTAATCTATAGTCGTGTCTGTCCATCGGTGTGGTTAGCATTCTATGGATCATAGAGTTGAACGCCGCCATTTTATGTTTCGTTGAATAGTACTAATCCTTTGGAATGCATCTTTGTGTTGTTGTTTTCTTCCTATATATCTTGAATCCAATTTTTTCAGATTTTCTTTTCACCAGTGTGTCTAAAAAAGGTAACACTCCATTTTCCTCAATTTCGAATGTAAATTCGATGTTTCTATGTAATTTGTTGATGCATCTGTTTATATTCTCCAGTTCTTCCTTGTCCACTATCGTGAAGACGTCATCAACATACCGCATCCATACCCTAGGCATCAGACAATCCTCCTCCATTCTTTTTTCATTTTCTCCTTTTTGCTTCCCTGCTACTTCAGCATAGAATGTATACTTTTATTGAAAATATTTCATAACGCTCACTAAATTTTGTCTATTTGAAAATTAGTGGAACATTATTACCTTGTATTACGTAATTTTTTATTAATTGAATCTTACAAATAAAAAATCAATTTGCATAATTTATTATCATTTTTTCTCATTACAACATTTTTGATTTATTTCAAATTACAGGTGAAATCCATTAATTCAAAACAAGGTACAATAGAACGTCTCACATTCCAAAATCATACAGAATGTCATTGTGTTCGTAAAACAAGAGAAAAATCATCATTACAAAATTTATTATTAGAACCGGCATTATTAAGGCGTGCAACAGTTTTGGATTGTAACTGTCCAAAATTATTTGAAAAAGTTTTACAAGATGATGGTTATTGTAGATGTGATTGTTCATCTGGTAACAGTGATTGTGATTGGTTAAAACGTGGTATGGAACATTTTTCAATGGTGGATAGAAAGTAAGTTAATTAAAAAGGAATTTTACTTTAATTACACAAAAAAATTCTATTTTCATATAAGTTCAAATATTATTATTTGAATGAGGCAATGTTTCTCGGAATCGTGCACAAGCAAATAGTGCTACGGCTACCCATCCACAATTCTGACAAACATTAGAATTAGAAAGAATTTACCCCTTTTATTTGGAAAATTTTTAGTATTTTAATCATTAATAATGAAAATTCTCAATTATACAAGCCAAATCTGGTTGTAGGGACCGATATTGTGTTGCCGTTCCTATGACTCTGCTTTCAGTTTGAAAAATAAGAAGAAACGTACACAATAATTGCGTTTTATGCACCATAAATTTTTTATAAAAACTTGAATAAAAAGTTTAAAATTTTCAATGCTTCACCTACAATATTTTTTAAATGCAATTTAAAATTTTTTTTTCATAATTCGTTCTTCATGCTTACCTTTTTCATTTTAAACTTAAAAGTCTTTAAATCCTTTTAACACAAATAACATTTCTTTGGAGTGTCATTTTAATAAAATGAAAATCTCAAGTTTATTCTCAAAAATTTTTCATAAAAGAGAAAAAAAGGAAAGTGTGTAAAACTATTAAAAGCGTTTTATGGAAAAAAAAATAATGAAGAATTCTACAGAAAACTTTTTAAACGCTTGTAAACATTCGATACTCACAAAAATAATGATAAAATTTATAGAAACACCAGTTTTCAAATGAATTGTTACACAAAATTTTTCTAAAGAATTTTTGTTTTCTCCATTGAAACTTTAAAATTTTTTGGTGCACTTTATAGTTTCACACTATTTTATTGATTTCAAATATTTATAATAGGAGTTGAGTGCGGTAAAATGCAGAAAAATTTTGCTTTCATTTAGTAAGAATGCAGTTGAACCTGAATGAAAAACGAAAAGTTTAATAAACGAAGCAATTTTAGTGGTTAATTGAGTAAATGAAGTGTAACGTAATATGGTACAATCCTTCCAATCTACCATCTACAATGGTTCTCCTTAAGAATTCATTTATTAAGTTCTAAACTGTATATTTACTAAATAGTAGGGTGTTAGTTTGAGATTGATAAGTATCTGAAAGACAACATTTTTGTGTCCAACTTAAACCAATATTATGGAATGGCAATAATTTCATCAATAGATGAAACCATTCAAGTTTAGTGTACAAAGCCTTATACTTTCCCTATTGTTCACTCAAATTTTTGAAATTTTTGAAATTAAATTATCTTTTCTGTCAGTATTCTCTCCCAGTATAATTGTTTAATATTCGAACAGATTTCTGGAGTGAAATTTGACAATTGACAGGAATTTTAAAAATTTACGTGAATGTAAGAAAAATCTTATATTTGAATGACATTCCAATATGGTTGAAGAAATAGGCTACAATAAAATTTTTAATTTTACACAAAAATTAATTACAATTTTCAATTAATTAAATTTTTTTTCTCTTCTTCTTATAAAATATAGATGCATTTTGGAAGGACGATGTAAGCCACCAACATGTGAATTTGGTAGTTATGATAAAAAACATGGAAGATGTCCTAGAAAAGATGACAAATTATTTTCCCGTAGCTTTGATTAGAATTATTTACAAATTTTTAGTTGAAATGATAAAATTTATGATATTTTTAAAATTTCTTTAAAAAATTTAATTTTTTTTTATAATTTTATTTTTATATTTTTTTTAATAATTTTTTAACTTTTTGAAATGGAAAAATAATAATTTTGTTGAAGAAAATTGATCAAATTACAAAAAAATTTAAAAAAGTCTCAAAATATGAAGAGAGAACTCCTGTAAGGAATTGATGAAAATATTTCTGCATTGCCGCCTTAATTAGGACCTTAAAAGACCATTTTAGTCATTTAAGGTCCTAATTAGGGCAACCACTTTTATTTGCTCTTTCTTAAGCTTCTTTACTCTTCTTAATATTGGAAACTTATCTTTGTTTTTTTGAAGGGAAATGATTTTTCACCATGTCTTATTAGTGCATTTACTTTCACACGCAGCCCTTGCATTGTTTAATTTTCGATTCAAAATTTTACGATAATTAACCCCCCAGGGGGCTAATACTAAAACTATAACCTAATAAGCTTTCTAAACTAAATTAATAAAAAAATTCAATAATATTCTTTCCAATTTCTTTTATCTTTCAATGGTTTTCAACAATGAAATATTTTGGATTACAAAGGAAAACTATAAAAAAACAAGAAATTGACTTTACAATTACATTTTAATAAACATAAAAAGAAAATCTAAGAAAATTAAATTTTCTGAAAAAAAATTAAAAAAAAAAATGAGATTCTCCTTCTCTTGCTCTCAATTAAATTCAATCGATAAAATTTTCCAAAGACAGAATAATTTTTATGAAATCATTAAAGAAAAATCCTCTAAAAAAGCAACAAATTTAAAATTCACCTTGAAACTATCAAAAGAAAAACATTAAAAGAGAGAAAAATAATTTCCTACATTTGCAATTTTTTTCATTTTTTAAAAAAATTTCTTCCTTTCGGCGTTTCGGATTAAAGAGAAAAAATTCCATTAAGAAGTCGACAAAAAATTTCAATATAAAAGAAAAGCCGAAATTCCAATTTTATGGTAGGTAATAAAATTACAAAAATAAAATTTTTTTTATGTCATTCGGACTTTAAGCGAAAAATACAAAAAATTTTTAAGAATAAACAAAAAAAAATTTTATTTTGTCATCATCTATTCTCTACCCAGTCGTCGTCAAGCTCACCATGTCATCGTAATTATGAGAACGTTTCAGCGCAAAATTTTATGTATTTTTTTTCTTCTTTTTTAATTTTCTTATTATTTTATTGCTTTTAACTTCAATTAGCAAATATAAAGTCTACTAAAATCAAAACATACCTATACCATAAAGAAAAGATAAAACACAAAGTCTGATGTAATCAGACCATAATCCATCGGCTTGTTTCTCTGGAATAATATTCCGAAATTTTAATCAATCTTTTTTTTGCTGAGTGCTGCCCGAAAGTGTGAAAATCCTTTATCAATCCATTTATATATATTTTAAATTTCAAGAGACTAGTAAGCTTTAAAATCTGAGAATTCCGTATATCTGACACCTTACATTATGTTCCATTGATTCAGTCGAAATCAGGATTAAGGAGGTATAATAGACTAACTAGCTGATCAATATGTTGTTGAAAATAATTTTATTCACTTTTCTCTAACTTTCGCCAATACATTTTCAATTCAAAATTCGGCATGTTGTGAAATATGCTACAATCACAACATAATACCTGTCGTATTGCTATGATAAACCAGGGTTTACGGTGTGAAATATTACGAAAACTGGAAAAACAACACAGGAACAAAAAAAAAATAATAAAATTATGGAAAAAAACGAAAAGCTTGTAGTTATACGTTGATGATGGTGCGAATAAGGATAGGCTGGTGCAATACTGTATGTATACAAATATATTATGACAAAAGAATAGAGAATAAAATGAAGAAAAAAATTTTGTTTTTGAAAAATACTAAAATTTCTAAATTTTATTTCCTAGTTCTTTTATCACTTTATATGTGCACCAAGGTATCGTATAGAATTTTATGAGAACCAGGAAATCCTTTTATATCTCTGTTGAATGGACGTGATCTCCCATTTTGAATGGGAAATATGTATGAGTATTCCATGCTCTAGTAAGCTACCATATTTATTTTTTTCTCTCTTTTTCTCTTTCTGTTTCATTTTGTTTTTTTATTTTTTTTTGTCACCGTTCTATTTTTATTCATCGTAGTATTCTTTAGCTTTATAATATTTTGGTAATACTCTTAGTCATCATGTGAGGTTATGATATTTTTACTGTAAATGCAATAATGGGAAAAGTCAAAATAGTATTAAAATGTAATTTTATAAAGAGGTGTTATGTACTAGGATTTGGAAGTAAATGAATTTTTCGTTTTAAAAATTGAATTACTAGTCGTTAAGAAACTCCGTTATTTTATTTACTACACCATTATGGATTTTTACAGTAACAACTTTCCGTACTCTAAAATTCACCATAAAATTTGGAACGTTTCATACAGTGTCAAAAGTTCCAATGTAGAATCCTTCATTCAATACGAATTGTCCTTATTATGTTACAACAATTTGTTCAAATATAAAACATATTGTTTGATGAAAAATTTGATGTAAGTCTATGTAAGAATGGTCCTTGTTTGACCTCAGACCAAACAACATTGATGCCAGTAAATTCGAGTGGGGACATTGTAGCCTCATTATATCTTAACAAATTATACACTTTTCCATCTGTCTTATTCTAGCCTGAAAACGAATCCTTTAAAAATTTCACATAAACATTCAAAGACTTTCAGATTAATGATCAAATAAAATCAATTTGAAAATAATAAATAAATTTTCTGTACATTCTCCATTTCAAATTAACAAAAAAATACGAGTATTCCAACAAGTTTCTACAAAAGTAAATTTTATTCATAAATAAAAGTACAATTTAAAAAGTAAATACTTTTATTTCCTTTTTGATGTCAGAGCTGTACACGTTTCTTTCTACCTTTTAATTTATTGTATTCCCTTGTGTTTCAAGTTGCAATACGAGTAATATTCAACATATTACCGATGGATTTTTGTCCAATATTGCTTTAACATCATTTTTCAGTACAACTTTTATTTTTTCGATTATTCTTTTCAACTTTTATATTATTACTTTTTCCGTTTCATATCAATGAAAAGTTTTAATGTATAATGTTTGATCTTTAAAATTGAATTTTTGAAATCGTTAGTCATGCCGCTCGAAGGATATTTTTGAACGTTTTGACAATGGAATGCCGAAAATTCTATTAAAGATTTTTATTCTTGCATTTAATACTGGTAAACTATTATAAATTAAAATCTGTTTTTGCTTTGAGAGTGCTCACAACTCACATTGATTTTACGTAGACACATACTGAAACGACATCTACATGCTACAAAAACAAGCCGCATTATGTTTATATAATAATGGCCGTCAAATCTGTTAAAGTTGCCACCATGTTGACAAAGAGAGTACCTTCCAAAATCTTCTCATAATTTGTGAATAACTGAATAGGTGCTGAGTACCCTATAATTGCTATAATTTTTTTTCTACTTTGTGACTTTTCGAAAATAAATAAAAAAGAAAACAAAACAAATCTAATTTTTACTTCTCGTTGTCGTTGTTTACTGTTGTGCAACGTACATTTGAAAAAACAAGAAAAAAAAAATAAGGTGCTTTTCACCATCATCAGCTTGATTACAATTCGCGTATATTAAATTTTATAACGTAAAAAATGTAAACAAAAAAAAAAAATGAATTCAAATATTGAAAATGCTTTTTGGACTAACAGTTACGTGTGCACAAAAATAAGTAAATATTTCTGTACGTGTGTATGTGTTTATGGCCCTACACATAGGTGCACATAAAATCATTGTCCTTGATGCTGCTTTAAAAGAAAAATATTTTCCTTTTTCTCACTTTGTTTTTCAATGATTTTTCCATATAAAAAGAAAAAATTATAATAAAAAAGATAAGAAAATAAAAGAAATTTAAATGATAAAATAAAAAAAAAAATGTTCTTCTTATAAAGGAGAACTTTTAGCACCTACTATACACCATCCTAATGGCAGTATACAAAATCAGTCAACAAATATAAGATTAAAGTTTTTGTTTGATTTCATTTAATACAAGTTGTCCCAAAGGTAATTTTGTATTAAAGAGAGTGTAAAATTTTTGATTCTTAACTCAAAAGGGTAAGGGTAAATTTCCTTATTCGTTTAAACAAAAATAAAATTTGGTTCATGGTCATATTATAAAATGTGAATTTGTAAATGAATTAAGTGCATTTTGAGATCATGTAAAATTTCTATAAAATCAAATCCATTTATGGTGTATGAGGTTAAATGTTTGATAACTTGTAAAGGGAAAATTATTCGAAAACCGGGGTTTTTTACTTCTATACCCTAAGCAATATGAACTTGACAAATAAGTAATTTTTAAAACTTGAATACGGAAATGTAATTTGACTTGAAAACTGAAAATGTGGTAAATATCATCAAACATTTTGGCGTACGAACTATTTTCATCCATAATTCAATTAAAATTTAATGGAACTATTAAATTTAATTCAATAACTTCTCAGTATAAATTTTTTTTTTTTTCCTTCTTCACTCCTAGGAGGATTATAGGGCTAGTGCATGATATCTATCATGCCCTAGTTTCTATAGTCATAGAGAGTTAGCTAGGTATGTGACTAGCCTACCGTAGTTTTTTTTATTTATATTAAATATTTCAGTTTATCAATATTTACTGTTTATTTTTCTTAGTCTTTAGTATCGAATATTATGAATATTTGAAAATTACTTCTATAATATTTATTAGTATTGCATATTCAGTTATATAATATTGAATATAATTTTTATAGCGACCTGACCGCGGTTTGAACCCGAGACCCTTCGGTTAAAGGGCCGGTGCCATAACCACTGCACCAATAGTCAGATCTCAGTATAAATATCTATCCAAAATTTACAATATTGTCAAAATCATGACAGCTATCAATTTTCGAATTTGTTGTCAAAAATTATGACAGATGTCAAATACTCACAATTTATTTATTATTGAATTTGACCACTTATACACTTTGTTTCAGTCAATAATATTAAAATATAAAATTAAGAAAATATTTCAAAAGTGTTTCAAGAAACAAAAGAAAAAAATAATTTTTTTCAATGTTGTTAGTCCGCACCCAAAACTTTACACACTACTTATAAGTAAACACATTGAATTTTGCTAAGGAATGAAAACTGTTATACCTGCTGTAGAACTATATTAGCGTTACAGAACTAAAATGTTGTTTTAATAAAACTTAAATGGCATGCAGAAAATAGAAACAATTTTACAGGATAATGAATGGCTCTTCACGCCCAATACCTAGGTATTATTTTCGTTTTATCCTTATTTTCAATTCTATTTTGAGAAAAAATAATAAAAAAGCACACAAACTACTTATAAAAGAAATAAAATTTTAAATTTAAATTTAAAAAATAAAATTGAAAATAATTAAAAAAAAAAAATTGTATTTTTTATGCTATAAACGTAAATTAAATTTTTTTTTTTTTTTTCTATTCTATTTTTGTATTTTCTTCAACAATTTATTATTAAAATTGTGATGGAATTTGAAAAAAAAAAAAACAAAAAAAAATTTTTTTTTAATTTTTTTTTTTTTAGTTTTTTAAGGAATGAAAGTATGATAGACAAAAAAAAATAAGAAAAAAATAAAAACAAAAAATTTATAATAGAAAATAATGGAATAGAAAGAAGTTATTGTTATTCGCGCGTCTTCAAAAAAAAAAAAAAATTGTTAAGGATATTAAGAGAGAAATTATTTTCAGTTCAAGACAAAAAAAAAATCATAATAATAATGAAATGAGTAAAATAATAATGAAGTAATAATGGAATTTAATCTAAAAATTAAATTAAAACAGAAAAATAGAAAAAAAAATTTCTAATTGATTTTTTTTTTTTTGGGAATAAAAAACGAAAATTTTCTTCTGTTTTTTTTCCATAATTAAAAAAAATTTCTTTCCAAATTTTATTATAATAGGTTCTAATTTTTTTAAAGTGATTTTTGACTTAATATAACTTATTTAAAAAAATTAACTTTTAACAAATAAAAATTTCAGTCAATTTTATAAAAGTGAGTCGGTAATACCTTGGTCATTTAACTGAAAAACGCTAGTTCTTGAAAAATTTCAAATTATCTATTGGACTTGAATGGCACATATCTGAACTTAATAACACATTTGACGAAAACTTCCATGATATTATAATATTTTAGCTATACCTGATTGTCAAGTATGAAAAGCAGCTTTAGAATTGTTATAGGGCAGTTATCGAACTCTTTGACAAAAAAAAAAACAATTTGTGAAATTTTGCGATTGCTTGTTATATTTATTTTTTGAGTTATCGTGCAATAGAACAGACATTGGCAAACTTCTAAATCAACGCAGAATTTTTCAATGTAGACCAGGGGTCTACATCATATAGTTAATAAACTTTCTTGGGCGTCAGACCATTTTCAAAATAAAATTTTTTATGTGGGCCGCACATTTTTGTAAAAGTATTATAGTAGCAAATTGGCAAATTGAAATAAATAAAATATGTTTTCCGCTATGCTTCCCTTAATGTACATTTTTATTATTGGCCATATTGCAGCACGCTTCACGTCTAACGTTGTCGATTTTTCCTACAATGTTTCAAACACTCGCACGTTATCGACACCCTGGTGTATACAGTTGGGTATTAAAATTATAAAAATATTACCGCGTTTTACATACAGATTATGCCGTAATTTTAAACGGCAAATTTATATTTATAATCAGCAGTGAGATTATAAAATTTATTAGTATTTAATTAAATATAAGAAATTATTAAATTAATATAAAAATACAAAAATGGAATCAGAATTAATTTTCATAATTAAATTTTATAAATATAAACCTACTGCCATTTTCTCAATAAAATATTAGTCATTATCATACTAAATAATAATAATGAAATTATATTAATATAATAAAAATCTTTTATAAAATTTTATAATTTTTTTTTTTAATTCATATTCAAAATAATTAATTCTTATATACCAATATTTTCATAAAAAAATAAATTTTGCATAATCATAATTTGTAAAATCTTAATAATCTCATTACAATAATAATAACACTTATACATTAATATCATTATGAAAATTAAATACCAATATTTATTAGTCAAAAATCACTATAATCTAGTCAATATAATAATTAATTCATTTAAAATAAAATTTACAAAAATATTATAATTTGTATAGTAGTTAAATATTGTAATTGAAAGTCAATAATCACGTTTTTTTTTTTTTTTTTGTTATTTATAATTTGTATTATATAATATAAAATAATAATTAAACAATTTATATATACACAAACATAATTTTAATTTTTAAATATATTAGTTACAATATTTTTAGAATTAAATTTACCTGCATACTTTTAATGTATATCTTATTTGTTATAATTAAATTTTAAATAATTATTAGAAACAATATTAATAATGATTAATTTTATATAATTATAATATTAAAGAAAGAAGAAAAATTAATTATTGCAAAACGCATTAAATATATGTTATATAATATTTTAAATTTTAAGATGAAATGAATTTTATATTAAAAACCATTTCAATTATTAATATACATAAATATATATTGTTTTTCTAATTAATATTATTAAAATTATGTAATTATTACCTTTCTTATATTATACAAAATTTTTTAATATAATTAATATAATTTATATTGTATACATTTTATATTAATTTTTATTAATATTATTTATAAATTCTTATATCTATTGTAATTATTATTCAAAATGAAAAATAAAAATTTTTATTTTAATCTTAATTCTATATTATTATAATGGATAACATATCTTCTATACATTTTAATATACTATATCTATATACTTTAAATATAATAAAATATATTAATAATAAATTTATATTTACATAATATAGAAGAGTAATTTTTTTAAATATAAAATCAATAAAGAAAACGAAAAAAAAATACATTGAAGAAATAAATACATATTATATATATATATATAATTAAAATATTATATAACATTATGTAAAATAAAGTCATAGATTGAATAAGTTTTAAAAAAAAAAAAATTAATTAAAAGAATATTAAAATTACAAAACAAAAAAAAAATTAATTTTAAAAACTATAAACAAAATAAAATTATATAAAATTAAATACAATGTACATATATAAATAATATATATATATAAATATATCTATATATATACACAAAAATAATAAAATTTTTAAATCAAATATTTACTAATATACTTACCTATATAAAATGATAAATTGAAAAACTCAATCAAATAATACAAAATCCAAAAATATTTAAAAAAAAAAAACTTAATATCTTTTTTCAATGTCTCATATAAAAATATTATATTTCTACATCAATAAACAAACACACACGTATATATATTCATACTACAATTATAAAAACTATTTATAACACAAAATGAACTAGAACAAGAAAAGGACACAATAATGAAAAATCAACTGTAATAATAATAATAACAATAATAATAATAATGATAACAGTAATTATTTTTTTTTTCTTATATATTACTATATACTTTCACCTATAATTAAAATAATATAATTATTATTATTAGAATGAAAATTACGGTAAAAAAAAAAATTAACACGTTAATTATTATTTATTTGTCTTTAATAATTATAATAATTATTAACATTAAATTATTCAATAATAATTATTATTGATTATATTATAATTAAATTAATTATTAAAATAGTTTGAGTAACTCTTTTGTGTTCCACATGGTAATGATTTTCAAAATAATTTATTAATTAATTGCATGATTTCAATAATAATTATTATTTTAGATAATAATAATAATTAATTTATGGGGCTATTAAAGTGCAACATAATATTATTGTTTATAATAATGACAGAGACAGTCTTAAAATTTTTAAATCAAAATCCTTTACTATAATTATTTCCAATAAATTTTCACATTCTCTTTTTTCATAACAATTCATAATAATAATCTAGTATTTATAATAATTATTATTCTGGGAATAAATTATCAATTATTATAAATGAAATTTTAAATATTGGATGTAGTCTAACTATAAATTAATTAAATTGCTTGTAATTATATGAATTTACATTGCATTGTTTGTAATAAAGAAGATAATTATTTTTATAGGAAAAATTTTTGAAATCTTAACCGGAATTCATTCGGAGAATTTTTGTTTCGTCTATACAATATAACATATTGTATCTTCAATTAGTTTAGAGTTTCTGAATTTTCTTCGAAATAAAATTAACTGCGGTTTAGATATACATTCATTATTATTTTGTTATACATTATTATTAAAAAAATTTAATAAGAATGGAAATTAGGTACATGCATTAAAAATGTAATAATAACCCCATGTATTCATATTATAAATAAACTCATAAATATTGTCATAAAATCCCAACATAAAAAGTTTTTGTCGAATTTCCTTTACAATTATATTTTTTAATTAATAATTTGTTTAAAATATTAATTATTATTTACATTAATTTTAAATAATATTATGATTTATTTTTTAACATTATAGTCACCTTTAAATATTTACATATTATTTATTATGATATTTTAACGTGTTAATTTAATAAAAACAAATAAAATTTTATATAATATATAAAAAATTCAATAATTAATATGAAAATAAAAAAGCAAAAATTTATTTATTCAATAAGCAATTGACATACAGTATTATTGTTAATAATAATTGTAATTACGATAATTATTATAAAAAAAAATGAACGAAAGAAATAAAGAAAAATTCGAAAAAAAATAAAAATCTATAATCTGTTACAGAAAACATATATACATATATATTATATACATATAAATTATACATAGGTACATAATATGTAATTATTTATATACATGCATTATTTACCATTTTTATTATCATTATTAAAAAAATATTATGTACACAAAATATTTTAATTTTAATTAAAATTTCAATAATCATTTAAATATATTTATACACAATACTCTTTATAATTATAAAATATATATACAAAATATATATATACATAATAATTATTATATTGTATGCATATTTAAAGTATAAAAATGAAAAAAAAGAAGCATAAAATTTGGCGCTACATTTTATTAAATTGTGAATTTCAATTCAAACTGTAATAATAATAATAATAATGATAATAATAACATTAATAATAAAAAATGATAAAACAATAAAAATGAACGAAGATGATGATAACGATGATGATTATGATGATTATGATGATAATGATGATTATAATTACATTTAATGTTTGTTATATCACACAATAATTTTATTAGAATTTAATAAAAAGAGAACAAAAAAAAAACAAAAATTTAATTAATTTTAAAAACATAAAACAAAATAAAACAATATAAAAATTATTATA